AGGAACTAAAGGAATCAGAGAATGTTGGTACCAAGTTGCCATATGGAAACAGTGTACCAGGCATAAAGGGCAGCAAAAGGGGAATCATTTAAGAGTATAGCAACCTTTGAATGACAGCGGTTGGAGAAGAAAAAATATTTTGTGCTTTTGAGATTTATTCTATTTTTTTCTAAAATGATTGTCAGTCTGACAACTGGAAGTACTAGAGGTCTGTGGAATTATGTGCATAGCAATAGAAGGGGTTATTAACTTTGGAACTGAAACTTGAGTGAAAGCCAGCTACTTGTGGAAACACAGTTACTAAAAGTTTTATAATTCTGTTGCATAAGCCTTGTTACCAAGACTTTGTGGTTAGTGTATAACATTTCTATGTGCCTTTCCAATTTTAGAATATATTTTGCTTGCATTAGCCATATACAATATCTATACCCTTCTTCTCTTGCCATTTTAAATTTTATAATGTGTTAAAACAGGCAAAAAAATTCAAATTAAATTAAAGTAAATACAGTATAATATTTTAATTACTTTAATAGCAGTAAGGTCGTAGATTGAAATATGTGATGTTTGGTGTTATGATATAGCAAAGTTCTTGATACTATGATCTATAGAGATATCTCAGTCCTAATCCTGAGTTGACTCTAAAAGATTGTTTGTTACCCACAGTTTCCTAACCTGTGAGATGATCCCCTGTATCACAAAACTATTCTGTAGTATATTTATGTAAAAATAATATCACAAATTATGTAATTTTCTGTATACTTTATGAGACAAATGTGCAATAAGAAAACAATAATAAACCCTGTTAGTCCTCACTGGAGCAGACCTATTGAATCAGTTGGATTTATCTATGTGGTAAGTTACCATCCAACATTAGTTAAATGTCTTTACTCTAGTTGGGACTAACCAACAGGATACTAGTTTATATGGGGCAATTATAGTCATTCCTTTGCATCTATGGCTTCTGTATTCACAGAATCTATAATCTCTGGCTTGAAAATATTTTTGAAAATCCAAAAAGCTAACCTTGATTTTGGTATTTTACATGAGTGAAACAATGTTACTATGCCACAGTATGTCATGGGCTTTGAGTATCCATGGGTTTTTTAAAAATCCACATGGGGTTCTGGAACCAAACCTCATCATTTACTGAGGTTCCACCACAATGATAATTTGAACACATTGATTTATGTGTACTAGCTGTTCTGTTTAAAAACAACAACAACAAAAAACCTGCATATATCTCTCTGTGTAGCTTAAAGAGATGTAAAGTATCTCTCAATATAATGCTTCAATATTTATTTCATGAAATTGAAACAGATTTAGATTCCATACTGTATTCAGTAGCTATCAATAATTTATGTAAAGGCATTTCATCCTTTCATCCACGGAAGAAAGATTCCTTTGTGTCCCAGCCTAGCCACATAAGATAAGTGAGAGAGTAGAAAGTCAACAAATTTATGTGGTGATGAGGGTAACATGCTGAACAGTCCCAGCATGGTTCACATTGGAGCTCCTTGCCAAGAGCAGATGCCTTAAGACACACGTATATTCAGTGATATGTAATAAAGCTGCAATCTAGACTTTACCCATATGCCAGTCTGCCAATGAAACCTACTGCTGCTGACAGAGGTATTGCTGCCAAAAAGCTTTTACGGCATAATGTTCACATAGTTACCCTCTGCTAATGACAAGAATGTCTAAATAGTGAGTCTTCCCCTGCTGTTCATGCTTCATTCAGGATCTTTGCGAGCTGACAAAATGCAACCTGCCATGCATTCAGTTTCACAGTTAAGCTGGTAATGGAGGAGATGCATTTCTTCCTGTCAGTCAAGTTTTCTGGAGGAAAAACTGTCCAGTATCAGCTTCTTTATTGCTGAGTATGTGCTTAAGAATCTTGATGTTATTACTGGCTTCCTTTCATTGTTCTATCCTTTTTGAATGAGTAAGAGATAACAGGGTTGATTTTTTTTGTGTGTCAGCAGTGACTTGAGAAACTGCAAGTCGCTCCTGTTTCTTCCCTGGACATTGCCCACGGGATGCCCAGATGTTTTTGATGTTTTACCATCTTTGTGGGAGGCTTCTCTCATGTCCCCACATAGGGAGCTGGAGCTGACAGAGGTAGCTCATCCACGTTCTCCCTGAATTCGAATCTACAATCTGTCAGTCTTCAGTTCTGCCAGCACAAGGGTTTAACCCATTGCACCACTGGGGGCTCCTCATCAGGCAGGTAACACGGATATATACTTAAGAGAAAGTCATGCTATATGTGTAGGTAAGCAGATAAAATGCTTGAGTAGTTCCACAGCAAATCAGAATGGAGGCAAGTTTCTTAGACTGAATGTCCTAAGGATCAGACATTGCCAGATTGGCATATGGGTAAAGCAGGGACAGTTATTGGTAATGTGGTGATATAAGGGCTGGCAAGATGAATCTGCTCTGGGTTTTGCCCCAAACTTTAAAGGAGCTATTAAAGGTATAGAATCTGGGAACAGAGATCAACATGTTGGTTACTTCCTGCCCCATTGGCATGGAAGCCACTAGCCACTATGGTCCTGAGATGTGTCCTGAGAAAATGGTGCAGACACCTCTTTGTCTTCACAGTCCAGCAAGATATAGTCCTGTTTCCTGAACCAGAATAAACAAGGGAAATCCTTTAGTAAGTTCAGGAGATAACATTGTTTCACTCATGTAAAGCTATCTGCCAGCTCTTAGAATATAGACACAGATTTATATTGGCTTTTTCAGAATTAAGCAGGGTGGAGCTGTCCAGCCCTCCTTGTTTCACAAAGGATGCTGCAGGGCTTCTTGCTGCTAAAGGACCAAGAGCACTTCACAATACCCAAAGCAAACTTGTACATGTTTAAGGCATATAGACAGCGGTTCTAGGGAGCTGAGTGACACTGCCTAAAACTGCTTTGCCTTGGGGTCCTGCCAAATCCATGTCCAAGAATTTCCTGGAGGTATGGTAAGCTTTCTATTCATGAATGTCATTGAGTAGAAAAGATTTTTCCTTTGGATTTTGATCTCTCCCTCCCTCTCTTTCTCTTATATCTACGAGTGTAATAGTAACTACATTATGTTGCATTTCTAGAGTTTATTTTTACACTACTTTGACATCTTCCTTTATTTGTAAAATATAATATTATGGTATAAGTAGATGAAACCTATGGGGATTCTACAGCAGAGGGCATTTGCAATAACTGTAATACTGGGATGACTGGAAGATCTTACTGGTTAGTCTTAGAATTAAAGGGGGGAAATGTATTTTATTTATTTATTTTACTTTTATTGCACCTTTCTCTCAATACAGAACATCTGGCAACCTTGGATCATTCTTATTATATACTTTTTAGAAAAAGAGAAATCTAGCTGTCATTATTGAATTCTGTGGCAAGGAAGGCAACCTCAGGCATTCCAATGACTCATCCTTCAGCAAAAGCTAAAGGAGACTGCTTTAAGGAGACTGCTTATGGGCTTGTCTGCTTGGACATTGAGGCAGGTTTCTATTTAAACCAGCAGCTGAAGTGTGAATTTATCTGTGACATTTTTAAGATGGTTGATGAAGCCAAGAGTTGACTAGTGATTCTCATACTGAACGCTAGCTAATTTTGGAATTACAGCACACAGCATGCCAAGATTAGAAACAAATGGCAATAAAATTTGGGGTGGGGAGGGTAATCTGATATAGCTGTCATGTTTTGATTTAGAGGCACTTTGCACATAATGATTTTCCTTGACAGATATTATATCTATGCATGCAACAAAATAGTGAGTATGTATGTATGTATGTTTGTCACATATCATAAAGAGAAAGCTTTTTCTTACATAGATGATGGGAAGTCGTAATGCAGGAAAATTCAAACAAAGATATTCAGACAAAAAGAGCACCCAACTAAATATGAGAAAGTTGTGAAATGGGTTTTGGGTTTTGATATATGAAATTTTCTCCTAGATTGTACTTGTTCTGTTGTCATTGGACCACTGAATAAGCTGTTTCAGAAAAGTATAGAAGCCCTGAGTTTATAAAAAGCACAAAAATTCATTGATCCAAAGTGATCAAAAATCCAAAATCATTTGGTTATAAAGCAATGCCTAAAGAAATGATAATAAATTCAATACATTCATGATGCAATGAGCATTAAAAAGCCCTCACAAGGATATTCCACAAAGTTATTATTTACTTTATTCATACCATCCCCTTTCCCCAAAATTGAAACTCACACAATCACTTACATAAAATAGCACTGCACTAATAGTATCCAGTTATAGAACAGAGCAAAACCAAAACTTCCCTTGTGACAGCACAACAATGGTAGTCATTGTAATTGAATACATAGTTCCTAGATATGGGTCTATGAATCTGAGCTGGCTTGTACTATGTAAGGAACATCATTCATCATTGAACATATTATGTTTAATACAATATTTACTTAACATTGTCATTCTTCTTCAAAGATTCATCTAAATCAATGGGACAGGCAGTTAGGACTAATCTAATTTTGGCTGGTCCAGTCTAAGCATGACTAACTCTAACACCAATCCACTGTTACGATACACATTCATCTTTGAGAATCCAAATAATTCTCAAAGATGAGAATTCTAGATTGGACAATTCTAGATTGTTTCCTCCATATTCAGTGATTGGAAGGTGTTCACATCGATGCTGAAAACACTGAGAATATGTTGAATGACTGTATACACACAAATAAATGTATATGGAATGGGAGGCCCTTTATTATCCAGATCCTTTAATATTTGTCAAAACTTGGATGAGACTCCCAATTTATTAAATCAGTAGCCTGTCACTGTTGGTTCAAATAGTTTATAATAAACACCCATAGTTTTGGCAGAACAATTTCAGTATAAGGTTTCCTGCCTGAATAGCCCCATACTATTTGTTTGATATCTTCATCTGTAATGACATTTTAATTTGTCATGTTTCCTTTCCAGTAAATCTCAGGCTTGTAATGACTCCTGATTTGATTGTGTATTTTTTTCAGATTCTCAAGAGGGAAATTATAAATCTGAAGTCAACAGTAAACCAAGGAAAGAAAGAACAGCTTTCACCAAAGAACAAATCAGAGAATTAGAAGCAGAATTTGCCCACCACAACTACCTCACCAGGCTGCGGAGATACGAAATAGCAGTAAACTTGGATCTTACTGAACGACAGGTATGAATAAAGAATACATTAATGGGGTACTTAGTACAGGTCATTACTTTCATGCCAGATCTAGCTGTATGATGATGTGTGTAATAAAAAAAATTCTGACATGACATTTATGTGATACGTATGCTTACTGGATGCCATCAATGTTATCTTTGAAATAGATACTTATAAAACTGGTTAGCACATTGTAACCACCATGGAAAATTGATAAGCTCAGCGGCATCTATGCCAGAATATAAGAAATGTAGACTCAAGAGTCATGGTAACCTCCCTCTTCCTCTCCCTTGCCCCATGTGTTGTAATCAATTTTTCTCCTTTCTTCTTGTCTCTTTTACAATAACTGCTCTCCCTGCGTACTGGCACTGTATTTATTCTAACTTAATTAAAGGTAAAGGTTTCCCCTTGACATTAAGTCTAATTGTGTCTGACTCTGGGTGGTGGTGCTCATCTCTATTTCCAAGCTGAAGAGTCGGTGTTTTCTGTCCATGCCTCCACGGTCATGTGGCTGGCATGACTGCATGGAGTGTCGTAACCTTCCTGCCAAAGCAGTACCTATTATTCTACTCACATTTGCATGTTTTCGAACTTCTAGGTTGGCAGAAGCTGGGGCTAACAGCAGGAGTTCACACCGCTCTCTGGATTCAAACTGCTGACCTTTCAGTCAGCAAGTTCAGCAGCTCAGTGGTTTAACCTGCTGCACCACCAGGGGCTCCTCATTCTAACTTATCAAACAAAATATTAATAGAACTGATGACAACTATGTCCATCAATGACTGGATGCTATGTTAGCATGCTTCTACAAGATGCTTCTCTCTATGTATCTGAAATCTACTTTTTCATGGAGATTCCATAAAAAATTAGCTTGCAAATTGCAAGATAAATTATGAAGGCATATCCTGGAAGATAAAGCAGCAATAAGCGGCTTTCTGTTTATACCTCAGCACCTAAAGAAAGAAATGGGAGAGGTTGGAAGCAAGTTCATATGAAAATGTGACTTTTATTTCCTGTGCTGGTCTATGACCAAAATAAATGATTTGATTGATTGATTGATTGATTGGTTGGTTGAAAGCTGGAAAACAAGTGAGGCATGGAGAGGGGTGGGACAGTGAAAGGTGAAAGGATATGGTTGTACACCTGTCCCAAACCACATCAAAAGCGTCAGGCTCAGATCCAAAAGAGGATGAGAAAAGAAGGCATTTTCTCATAATGGCAAGATTGAAAAGTAATATAGGAAAGAGAACCCAAAATCAGGAGCATTAAGTCTGTTATGCTGGGCATATGCTAATCCAAGGCTCCTGGTTAGAAAAACCTGGAGAACACACAGAGACATCAGATAAGTGATTATCAAACTTTGTTCCTCCAGGTGTTTTGGGCTTCAGCTCCCAGAAGCCCCATGAAATTTAGTCAAAAGGGGGCTCATGAAATTGTGAGAGATAAAATCCAAAACATCTGGAGGACCATAATTTGAGAACCATTGGTCTTACTTTTTACTAAAACAGAGTTTTCCAAATGAGAAAAAGGAAAAGATGGCTGTCTATCCTTGTAGAAAGTGATGCTATGGTTATTATCTCCAGATCAGGAAAGGAAACAGTCCTAGTTGATGGCAGGGCCGTAGCCAGAAAAAAAATTCGGGAAGAGTTGAATTTTTTTTGGGGGGGGGGGGTTGAAATCTTTGTGGGGGGTTGAAACCTGCCTCCTAGCTCACACTGAAGCAAAGAGCACAGCAGGGGGCAGAGCAGCCTTCAATAGCCTGCAGCTCCGCCCCTGTCAACCACCTCCACCAAGTCTGGCCTCCTTAATGAGAGCATGCAACACTTCCCCCCCCCCCCCAACTTGGTTGCTTCACTACATCGGCTATTGCTGTAAGTAATCACAGTGTGAATAAATTGTCAATATTTGATTGAGATAGTGTTTGCAGTTCTGGAGGGACTTTTTTGTGTCTCATAGACTTAGCATGGGGATTTGGTTAACCAGTTAAAATTCATGAGCAAACCAGTTTGTTTTTTAACCTGAAAAATTTCAGGGGGGAGGGGTTAATTCCTACCCCCCCCCCCCCCCCCCCCCCCCCCCCCCTCCCCCGCCCGGCTACAGGCCTGGTTGATGGCATGGAAGTCTGTTATAAGTCAGCAGACTAAGGATATGCAAAGTGTAGTGATCTGGTTGTTGCTGAACTTCAACTCCCTGCATTTCTCACCATTAGATATTCTGTTCCCATTTACTGTCTTTTATATTCCTGAAATCCAAAACCTAATTTGATGTCCATGGGCTTAAGTTGTCCTGTTGTATTAATTCAATGTTTTTAACTATTTATAATTACTGTTTTTGTTGTGAAATTGATTGTGTTTAATTGTAGGCATTGAATATGTGCTGTCTGGAAGCCGCTCTGAGTCCCCCCAGTGGGTTGAGAAGGGTGGGCTAAAAGTATCAGAAACAGATAAATAAATAAATAAATAAATAAATAAATAAATACACAAATAAATAAATACCTGAGATCCATTTAATCATATTGCCTTCACTTCTGAGTAGGGCTAGGATCACCATAAGTCTGAAACAACTTGAAGGCACCTACCACCACAACAACAGACTAATGCACTTTTTTGGAACACATTTTTTTTAAAAAAACCAACTTTCCCAGAAATACCTCATAATGTTAATATAACTTCTGACCCTCCAAATTTTGTTTTTCTTCAATTCCCATAAATCCCATCCAAAGCTAGCATGGTTATATTTCCAAAATGATCCAATAATGGCCATATAGCCCGAAAAAACCCCACAAGAACTTAGTGATTCCAGCCATGAAAGCCTTCGACAATACATAGATCCAATAATGCTTTGGATCTGCTGAAAAAAAAAACTACCTTGTATTGGGAACAACGTTTTACTTTCACTGTGGCTTGAGGAGAAAAAGTAAAGATGGTTTAATTCAGTTTAGCCTAAAATAAACATTGCTACATGTTGCTTGACTTCTGGCATGAAAAAGGAGCATGTATTTTGTTATCATTGCAGGAACATTCTGCAGTGATTTGGCACTGACTTCAGTACATTACTGTTGTTTCAGATCTGTTTTTTTAAAAGGAGAGGATGAGGGGGGGGGAAACTACGATGGGGTGTTTTTTGTGTTTTGAAAAGTTTTGATTCAGTATGCTATATGAGGAGCATAAATCTTGAGATATGTATCAGAACCATAGGACCTCTCAAGGAAGAAAATAAACACCCTCCAAAAATGTTTCACAGCTATAGAAACCTACAAGGAAACTAGTTCTTCAAATATTCCTTCATTTTCTTCTTTCTAAAGGAGGTAGATATTATGTCAAAGTAATTCAAATTGTTGTATATTACAGTCAGTACATTACAATTCAAATTACTTTGACATAACATCTACTTTGGCATATATAATGTTACAGGAGTAGATGATTTTCAGTGTCTCTGCATACCCTCACGACAAACCCCCACTTTCTATAGTCTGAATGTCGAAAATCTTGGCTTCAATGACCAGCATCACCAGATAGGATGAAAAATAATTTGTTTGAAATTCTAGTGGGCTGTTGTCAGTAATTATATGCTATTCCGAATTGGATATACCAATAGTCTATGAACGTTGTCACACGTGCATTCGTTTTTGCCTAGGACTAGTGGCCAGCGTGAGAAGAGTACCCTCCAGGGTCCCAGAGGCCACCAGCTTGCTTGGCTGCTGACACACTGAGCAATGAGGACATTGAAAATTACCCACCAAATTTGACCTAGTTGTCTGTGCATTGTAGGTTACATCTGAATGTACCAATATATCTCCGATATTTTTGGTTATTTTATATGCTATCAATGGGGATCTTTCACATCCTGGGATATAATTTATAAGATTCCAGGTCTTCATAACTGTTCTAATGGCCAGATTGGACATATTTGTAAGGGTAAGTGGCCATATCAGTCTTTCAACTCTTGGTCTAATGTTGTCCTTTAAGAGTTTCGATCTGGGAATACTGGCAACCCTTTAAAAAGATGATTGTATTATATTTTCTGGATATCCTCTGTTTCTGAACTGACGTTTTGTTACTTCAATCTCATCATCAAAGTCTTGTTGAGTCAAGGAGTTACGTTTAATCCTGAGCATCTGTGTATAGGGTAAATTGGTTTTTTTTAAGGCCCAATGGTAGTAACTGTTGTAATGTAACAAAGAATTTCTATCAATGGTTTTGCGGTGGTTTTTCACTCTCAAACTTTCATTTTCTTTTTTGACCAGGACACCTAGGAAAACCTGGGCTGTGGAGCTGATGTTCCCTGTAAATTTGATATTGGAATGAATGGTATTAATCCAAGATAATAAAGTTACTGCCTCCTGAGCTGCTGACCCCTGTCTCCCTAGAGGGGAAGGCAGCTTGAAGGCAGGCAGATAGATGGCCCTCTTGTCTCTGGACCCAGGGCCCCTGTTCGAAGGAAGGCAGTCACTGCCATGGGTTCATGCCCTGCCTTCGCCCTGTTTTGAAGGGAGAGGATGGGGGGTGGCAGTTGAGAGAGCAGTAACCTCTCTCTGTTTGGAGGTAGTAATGGTGAGGGGATGAGGAGACAGGAAAAGACCCTGTGTGCCAGGAGCTATGGAGAGCTGCCACTTCACATTCCTGGTACACAGGGCTTCCTCCTGTCTCTCTCCACTCCATTTGCTGCTGTTCCCTCCACCCCAAGATGACAGAGCCATAAGCCCACCAAGGAGGTGTGGGGACCTGTCACCTTGCTGCCCACACCATCCCAGCTCCTCTCCTACCCAATCATTCATGAAAAAACCCCAATAAGCCATCTCAACCCATCTTTCTTTATGGAAAGACAGGAAGCCTTCCATTGTAGCCCACTGTCTTCTTTTTGGTGGCAGTAGGTTTTTCTCCAGTTCAGCCATGAAGCCACCCTAGAAGTTCTTGTAATGGGTGTGATGGGAGCCATCGAGCTCCGTGGCCAAACTTGAAAAACCCTATAGCCACTGCCCAAAAGAAGTCCATGTGAAGATGCCCTATATC